GAAGAATACTTAAAACGAGCTTATATATTTTAACACAGGTTATGTTTAAATAACTGACTGTCACACGTACTTTAGTTTATTGTTATTCAGAGCTATTTGAAATTAACCTATACACTATTAGATGACACTTTAAATAGGCCTATATTCTTTTAAAACTGCCCTCGACCACCTGCGTTAATCCACTTGAATCTATTATTTATTTATTTCCTTATTTATGTGTTGCTTATTTATTTAATTATTCTTTTTTACGTAGTTATTTATTTACTGTTAACAGAAATAAAATGAACATTGGTTACACGGTTTGTACTTAACAAAAATGACAATGTGGTTTAATTCAGCATGGTGCATTTTAAATATATGAGATTGCTCTTCATAAAGACACACTAAACATATTGTGGGAAAATATTTCTGAACTTCGTTAGGACGAGTTGAACAGTATAAAGAATAAATAATTTTCCAATATTTTTAAAATAATTTAGCTCCTAAATTTAGTAGCAACTGACTAGTTACCTCATTCTTAGTTGCAGTTGATGTTTTTTTGTTTTTTTGTTTTTTAATAAAAAGCACATAAAAAGCAAAAAATATTATGGGAATATATTTGTGAAATTCGTTAGACCGAGGTAATAGTATATAATATTTTATGAATAATTTACTAAAAATCACATCTGGAGTGGATCATAAATTTAGTAGCAACTGAGTATACTTACATAATCCACAGTTTCATTAAGGTACGGTTCATTTTCCAGGATGTTTCTTACTGCTGGCCAGTCCTTTCTCACTATAGCCTGTACTAATTTGTTTCTGTGACATAACAATCAAGCAATGTTTATCAATGAATTGTTTGTTTGCTTCCACATGACATTGTTTATACCTTAAAATTAAGTTAAAATGAACCAGGTTTCTCATAAATGTTAATTATCATTATCAACATCATCATCGTCGTCATCATTATCATCATCATTAGCAGCATTTCTATCACAGCCATTATTCAACGTAATTGTGATCCTTTTGAAATAATTCTCTCATTTGTTTATCTTAATTTATCAAAGTATCATAATACAGAAGCGTACTCACTGTCTCTTAGGTAAATACTTCATGGTCACCAGACTGCTTCGTTACTTTCGTATACAGTTGTGACGTGTAGATGAGTGGGATCGCTGTGAATAAGGTGTAGTATAGATTCATTAAGCTATATTAACATATAATTTATGATTTATTTGTGTTTCATTTTACAAGAGAAACGTCCGATCTATACAAAGGCACAAAAGCATGAGAAATAATACATTTATCATTACCAAAAATTAGAATAATAAAATATACAACTTATTGTCGATCGAAATATGAATCCTGTATGAACAGACTAACAATAATTCAATCCATTTGATCAGCCACTCCGAATTTAGACCACGCACAGAAATCTTCCCCCTCTCCCAATGGTGGCACCAGAAAATGCCAGATGGGAGTACGATGACAACAATGAGAGTGTAATTGACCGGGGTCAGGGGACGACCAGAAAAGCCATTGGAGGAGGTCACTGGTCAGGGGCGAGGCTCCTGGAAGCTTTGACATTTTAGAGATTTGAAGTTTATTTAAAAAAAGTTTCTCCTATCCTAATAAGTTCAGTCTGTCGAAGAATTGTGTTGAGCCCCGAGGATTGATGACCTCTCTCTGTCGGGACCACACTGCACACCCACCTCGCTGGAGCCACCACTACCCTCTTCCACTTATTTAACGCCAGCTATCCCTGCTGTTCACGTATATGAACCGATACTTTAACATTCCGATTCGTAAAAAGTAAGAGTCCATGGTCCTTCTTATTAATATGTCCATGAATATAGTATGGGCGTGGCAGTAACGTAGATATCAGGCCCGTGTCCTGAACAGAAAATATATAATTGGTTTTTTTTCCCTAATGTAGGCCTACAATCCTTTTGAAAAACCATTTCCAAAACCTTACAAATGTAATGGTCAATCATTTATAATTATAGCAAATTTAAAATAAAACTTACGTCGATTTTAGGAACAAAATAGTCTTCGCTGATTTGAGGTCTACTGTTAGTGTCGATTTGTGCTTTTTGTGGCGTAGAAATAAGAGAGAAAGGAGGAAGTAACAGTAGGACAGCCGACAGACGATTTGTCCGTTATATCGCGATTTTTCGATCTTACTTCCGCATTTGCTTTGCGCAGCGCCACCTATCGTTTCAAAGCGTAACCACGTTTTAGCGTCGCTTAGCAAAATTGCATCAACTCTATTTATAGTTCTCATTAATAGATAAGGCCCGCCCATGGCTTCCTTATATGGTAAAAACATTTCCAAATAAGTCTAGTTTCGGAACCAATCGGAGTTGTTTGGGAAAACCCACGTTAACGCAAAGCATTTATCGATTGAAGTTGACGCATATGAAATAGTGAAAATCTGGTATGATTTGACTAGGCTTTTATTTACAATTTTCGCCAGAGTCGGATTTGCGTCCCCGGGAATCAATATTTTTTTGAAGTGTTGATTTATCATGTTTAATCTTAGTTTAGTCAAGTAAGACCTGTCTCAAATCTGTTCAAAAATTTTAATTCATACTTATAGGCCGTAAAATTCTAGGCAATATTTTGAGCATGTGTGATCACGCGGTAGTCGTAGCTGAGTGACATTGACTGCAGCCGTGGGCGATCCATTGTTGTACCAAGGAGGTATTAATACCTCCTTCCAAGGAGGTATTAATACCTCCTTGGTTGTACTAGCCTAGGAGTAGGCGTCTGACAGTGGGATATGACCGGTTGAGCCGCCGACAAGTTGAGCCGCCGGTCATTTCTATGGAACGCCAAACGCGTCTCTCAGTGAATGTAGTCGGCTTGCCGATGTCATCAGTGAATGAACCCCCCAGATACCAGCTACATATTCATCCCACAGTCTTGTCAGTCTTTGATTTGCTTGTATTGCCGTTCGTGATGTATAATTGTGTAATTGAAAATTAGAATTTTGATATTTTTATGTACTACATTTTTATAAAAATATATGAAGTTGTATATTTGCAAAATCGTATTAAAAATGTAATTTTATGTACTACATTTTTATAAAATTAAATGAGTTGTATAATTGCAAAATCGTATTAAAAATGTGTTTATTTACGTTTGGTTTGCAGCGTATTTCAAATAACTTATTCGTTATTTGTACTATTTTGTTAAATTATTTAATTAAATTATTTTTTATATATAATTTTAACAAATAGTACAAAAATAAAAATATATAAATTATAAAACCATAGTAAATACTGTATAATAACATAGGCCTAACACATTTAAATTTATTGTTTATAGTCATGCAAAATCGTATTAAAAATGTAATTAACTTGATTATTTTTTACATTTGGTTTGCAGCGTATTTCAATTAACTTATTCGTTATTTGAACTATTTTGTTAAATTATTTAATTAAATTATATTTATTATATATCATTAAATATAATAAATGATAAGAATGTATGGAGTTTTTTTTTTTACTATCTGGCAAGCCGACTGAATTAGACAGATGACTATAAACAATAAATTTAAATGTGTGAGGTCTATGTTATTATACAGTATTTACTATGGTTTTGTAATTTATATATTTTTATTTTTGTACTATTTG